ATATATATATATATATATATATATATATATATATATATATATATATTGCATGCTTGATAAAAGATTTTATGTTTATCTTACAATGTATCACCCACCTTACTAGAAGAATCAAAATAGATAGAAAAAAAATACTTAATTAAATTAAGTATTTAATTAATTTAATTAATCTACTTAATTAAATTCTATGTCAAAGAACTGGTGCTAGTGATCAGTACAGATGGTTTTAAAATTAGATAAATTGTAGAGATTGGATAAATATATGGAGGAGAATTCTATAAACCAGATTACCCAATATTCAAGTTGGCTTCAGAATGGTGCATGGCACTACTGACCATATTTCAAATCTATACTTGATTATGGAAAAATCTCAGGAATATCAAAGTATATCAATATCTGTAAGAAAGTTGATTATGTTGATCATAACGCACTGTGGAGAGTCTTAGAAGACCTGGGAATGCCAATACATCTATTCAAGTTCTGCAATCACTGTACATAAATAAGAAAGTCACTGTGCAACCAAAACATCTTTTCACCTTTCTTTTTCAACACATATACCAAAGCGATCATGTAAAAGCTTGAAGAATCAAAAAATACATTAAAGATTAGAGGAAAAAGCATCAACAATTTTCAATATGCTGACAATAAAAGTCTCTTCTCAGAAACCAAAAAAGGCTGAAAACATGATCAAAAGGTTTAAAGAGAGAGACATACATTTCGCCTTTTCCTATAGATCAAATAGCATGGGAATAGAAATGTCAAAATAACAATGGAGAAGAGATGAAATGCGTACAATAATTTACTTTCCTAATATTGCCGATTGATCAAAGCAATGAATGCACTCCAGAAATAAAGGGTCAAATTGCACTGGGTCACGCAGCAATGATGAAAATGAATAAACATGAATCAAAAGCAGGGACATCAGCTTGGCAACTAAATACAGATTATGCCATGCTATTGTTTTTCCAATAGTTACCCACAGCTGCAATAATTGAATCATGAAAAAACTAGACAAGAGGGAAAACGAGTCATTTTAGGTGTGGTGTTGGAGAAGGCTCTTGCTCATTCCTTGGAAAGCAAGGGTGACAAATAAGTAAGTATTGGAGCATATAAAACTAGACATATTGCTGGGTGGAAAAATCTTTGCCTTACTTATTTAAGCCATGTCATGTGATTGAACTCACTGGAAAAGGCAGTTATGCTTCCATTGATCAGTGGTAAAAGGAAATTAGGCTGCCCAAAACACAATGGCTAGACTCCATCAAAGATGATACCAGCCAGAGCATAAAACAACTGAAAGAAGCCATACACAATTGGAAAAAATGTAAAGAGAACTGGCCCATGGAATTGAAGGGAATCAGACACAATTGAGTAGATAGTATTATCATCACACAATTCTATTACATGCCACTCTAAGTTCTTTATCTGAATGTATCAAAAGATAAACATAAACATTATAATGTTTGTCTATAAATTATTTCAATATCCAGATTGCCAACTATAAGACAATAAGAATGGAAATCTCATATGATTTAAAGCTAATTAAAAACAAATATTCTGACTGTTCATTTGATAAATAACACTTCTGTATGCATTCAGGTTTTTATTGTACAAGCATCTTGTTTCATTCATGGAATTTGTAAGATCATCCAGAAGTCATGGTTTTCTGTTTGTAGCCCTCCTGTGGTTTCTCACTTTCTCTAACTTTCTGCCTACCACAAAACTGCATGTGGGAGGATGCTCAGAACAGCTTCTTGAGGACTTTTTAATGACTGGAGTCTACTCTTTCTGAAAATATCATTGTTTTATTATTTGCCATTGAAAAAAAGGAGGGTTTGTTACAAATTTCATAGGAAAAATGCCATAACATTTAAATGGATACAACCATAGTTTCAGCTGGAAAATTGTGAGCATCCCAGAACAGCCTAAATAAAGAAAATGCTAGGGAAATCCTGGAACCTTGGTTTTCAGACAAATCAGCCATCAGTAGACACATAGAGATAAATCATAATTACATAGCTTTCAAAAGTGATAATAAAAAGCTAAGAAGGAAACAAAAACACCAGAAATATTCTCCAACATCCAGTTAAGCGGGATCAATACCAAACAATCAGGCAGAAACCCTAATCAAGATATTATCAAGGAGAAAATGACCCCACCAACACTGGCAGGGCAAGCTATTTTATATAAACAGGTAGCAAACCCCACTGACTAGCAAATCCACTGACTAACAAATTCCACTGATTACACTGATTCTGATACCTAGTTGGGTAATGAAAAATCTGCAAGCAAACATACAAAGTCAGAGGTCACCAAGGATTCCTGTATGTAAGTCTGATTTACATATATTCTGTTCTGTTGAAAAATACAGTTAGAACTATATAACCTGTCAATATATTTTTGTTACCTGGAGATGCTTCTAGTTTTTCAGTAATCCTAGATGTTTTGGGTATGTTTTGCTTCACAGCTGGTAGAGTAGGCACTAAAAATAAAATAAAATAATTCAACCACTATACAGAAAAAATAAATTTCATATATAATACTGAAAGCAAATATTCCTATTTATCCTATTTATTTATTTTTAATATCTGAAATGAAAGTAAAATCATCATGCACATACCAATATGTCTATATCTACACAAAGCCAATATATACTTCTAGTTTCATACACAAATACATACATACAAATATACGCTATAAGACATTGGTTTGATAATGTACCGAAGAGCCAGCCAATCAGAAATGTTTGCATAATACCAAACTAATTATTTATGTTTTTCCTTTTCAATATAAGCACAAAAAGAAAGAAGGATTAAACCTGCATACTTTCTTCAAGTGATTGTACAAGATGTAAAAATGCAACATGACTCAAAATTCCTTTTCACATACAAGATAAAATCAACATAAAATAATTGGCACCCACCAAATCCTGAAAATAAGAATTATTAGAAGTTTGTATACTAATTACAAGGGTACATATAATGACTTTTTGCTCATATTCAAGTTCAAAAATATAAATTCATATTATAGTGATTCATAAACAAATTAATATACATGCATGCTTAAAGGTTTTTAATTACCAGGTTTGTCAAGCCATCTTCCTGGGGTGGCTGAAACCTTCCATTTCAATGTAAAGATCATCAACTTTGTATATAAAATTGTTCAGGATTGATTTATAAATATCTCACATAAAATCGCACATGCAAGGATCTTGTAATGATGAAGAAATTTAGTTAGAAATGGACCAACAAGCTGATGAAGATGATAAAGACGTAATGCATGTTTTATAGTACACAATTTAAGATCTTAATGTTCCCAAAACAAGTGAGTAATCAGGAGGCAGTCTACTCACAAAGATGGCTCTAGATAAAAATTATTATTATTAATAATAATAATAATAATAATAATAATAATAATAATAATAATAATAATAATAATAATAATAATAATAATAATAATAATAAAATTCATGCAAATCTAAAATTATGCACCACAATTTTCAAAGCTTTTTTAGAGGCTTTAAAGCAGATGAAAATAGACAAAGGTTAGTATGGAAGGAATGGCTATTTTATTCTCAAACAAATTAATTCTCATGGAATGAAAATGTTTCTGATGAAATAGAAAACTCAGTACAATCATTTCCAGTGAAAAAATAACTGTACCTAGGGTTGCCCTTGGCCAGTCAAGAGTTTTAGATGTTTTGGATGGGAAAGATTCCAAAGTGGGTTCATTTGTTACTGCTAGAGAAAAAAATGAATGTATAAAAGATGTTAAAAGAAAAGCAATCTTTTTTAAAAAAAGGTTTTGCCTGTGGAAAAATATTTTTGGTTATAATAGACAATGAAGCATTTTCATAGTCAATATTTATTGCTTTTAATTCACCAATTTATTAGTTGTTATAATGAAGCACTCAATTTAAATTTCACACTGATAAGAATTCTGTTCACGAAAATGTAGCTAAATTTGAACAAATGCTGGTCTACTTATAGCTTTTATCAGAATGAATGCCAAACATTACATTTTAGAGATTTCTAACCATTTTACTTAATCATATGGTTGGAAGGAATTTTAAAGGCCCTCTACTCCCATCCTTGCTCTGTGGAGGTTCTATTACAAGCTCTCTGACACAAAGCCATCCACTTTTTTCTGAAGTTTTCTAGTAAAGAATGACTTCCAAAGTTATGTCATGCAAATAAACTGGCATGGAATTACAGGGTTGTAATGAAGAAATGAAACATTTGCTCATAGAAGCACCAGCCCAAAATACAATTATATGTATGAATGATAAAAACTCAATTATTTCAGAGAATCAAAAAAGGATAACTTCCATTTGAAGAATAACAGCAACCTCCTTTTATTGAGAAGAATACTTGGGAACTTTCTTCTACCAATTAAGAGTTTAAAGCTGATACATTTCTATTTCTCAGTGTTTTCAAAAGCACAGTCTGGAATATCTTCTGCTACAGAATAGTTTGGTAAATTGAAAAATATCAGGGAGTTTTTAATTCACCAAATCTTCTAACCGAACCACCACTTTTAAAGGTCTTGAAAAAGAGGCAAGAAATCTTTCCATTCAGCTAACATGTTCTTCTCATTTACAGAATACAATTATTTGGATTAGCACATAATATGCATTTCAGCAAAGCAATGTGATTCTCAATTGCTTTTCATTATTTACAGAAATAGTAGATCTCTCTACTGAAGAATAAAACTAAACTAAAGAATAAAACCAAATATGTTTAACAATTATAACAAAACTTAAATGAGTTTTAGTGATGAAAAGAGATAAACAAGTAGGCAGCTTATTTTTCATATTTAGTGTTAAGTCCTGAGCATGGGCGCAAGGAATGGAGACGAGGCATCGAACTGTGACTTCAACTCTTTATTAATGACTTCAGAACAGAGCAAAATACTTGGGCAGCAGCAGCTCTTTTATAGAGCTGGCTGCTGTCAAAACAACCAATGATTTGAGTTTACCGCTCTAAGAAACGTCCAATCAGAGGCGACCCGCTGCCAGCCAATCAGATCAGCCAGAAACGACCAATCACGACTCGCTACATATCGCGGGCCAATCAGAAGTGCAGGATTATGAGCCTGCTGTTGAAGTAAAACTATTAGGGTTGTTAATGAACGCGTTAGCTTAGTTCGTAACACCCCTCCCCCCTAGGAGTCTTAGGGGTGGGGTGACGTATTCTCGCAAGTAGGCAGGTTGCTTCACCTGTCTGCTTGACCTGCGCTGTTCCACCGGTTTCTCTGGTTCCGGTGGGTTGCTTGCTGAGCTGGATGGCGAAGACGGTCCCGCTGCTCCGTTGTGTGACTCGGGGCTGTCCTCACCGCTCTCACCAATGCTGTCATCGGGGTTCCTTGGATTCGCTTGCATCGCGGTGCTGCTACGTGGTGAGGCAATCACCCGGTTCGGTTCTCCTTCTGGAGGTGAGTATCCCATGGTTGTTTGTGTAGGCTGCTGAGTTCCAATTGTTAGGTCGTCTGCTATTTCTTCTTCAGCCTCCTCAATGTCCCTCCCCCCCCCGGTTTGAGATTCAGGGGACGAGATGGGCGTAGGTGCCAGTCTGGAGCGAAGCTGGTCTATGTGGCGCTTCCATAATTTTCCATCATCAGTTTGCAAACGGTAGGATCTGGGCCCGGTGAGTTGAGTTATGGTAGCAGGGACCCACAGTGGGTCACCTGTGAAGTTTTTAGCAAAGACTAAGTCGCCTACCTTGAACGCACTACACTCGCTGCTGGATCCCAAAGGCTTTTCTGGCGTGTAGGTAGGGTGTAGGCGATCAAGGTGTGAGCGAAGTTTCTGGCCCATCAGGAGTTCGGCCAGAGTTCTGTTTGTGGTGCTGTGTGGGGTGATGTGCTGGAGGAGAAACATTCTGGTTATCTTGTAGTCAATGTCCCCATGTTCCATTTTGTGTAAGGTCTTCTTTACGAATTGGACCATTCGCTCAGCCCTGCCGTTGGCCGCAGGGTGAGCCGGTGATGTTAAAGCGTGGCGGATGCCCCTGTCTGCTAGATACTGTTCAAATGCCAGGGCAGTGAACTGGGGCCCGTTATCTGAGACTAAAACGTCCGGCAATCCGTGCGTAGCAAATAATTTATTCAATTTTTTAATGACTGCTTCTGTGGTGGTGCTCTTCATTTTGTGGACCTCGAGTCAGTTGGAATAGGCATCCACCGTTATAAGAAAAGTGTGTCCTTTTGTGGGTCCCGCAAAATCGATGTGTATGCGGGACCAGGGACCGCGAGGTGCTTCCCACTCAGTTGGAGTTGCTTTTGGTGGGGCAGCGCGAATTTCCTGGCACTTGCTACATGTGGCCACCCAGGCTTCTATCTGCTTATCTATACCTGGCCACCACGCGTAGCTTCTTGCCAGTGCCTAGCATCTTTCAGATTGTTGGTCTCCAGGAACATCTGGAACCAGTCCATATACGAGTCCCAGTCTTCGTTTGCCGGGTCAAATGGAGCAGGTGGTATGGCACCGCTGGTCATCCTGCCATTTGTTGCTTGCGCTCTCAGCCATGTGCTCTGTAATGCTCGATGCGTGCTCAGTCAGCCCTATCGTCTCCGCATCCCACCTTCGTCACCAGTGTTAAGTCCTGAGCATGGGCGCAAGGAACAGAGACGAGGCATCGAACTGTGACTTCAACTCTTTATTAATGACTTCAGAACAGAACAAAATACTTGGGCAGCAGCAGCTCTTTTATAGAGCTGGCTGCTGTCAAAACAACCAATGATTTGAGTTTACCGCTCTAAGAAACGTCCAATCAGAGGCGACCCGCTGTCAGCCAATCAGATCAGCCAGAAACGACCAATCACGACTCGCTATTCACGGGCCAATCAGAAGTGCAGGATTACGAGCCTGCTGTTGAAGTAAAACTATTAGGGTTGTTAATGAACGCGTTAGCTTAGTTCGTAACATTTAGCTTTGGTATTAAAACTGAAATATGAACTATTAAGCCATAAATAAATACAGGCTGGATCCAGTGAATATATTCTAGGAGTTTGAGGTGCTTGGTGAAAATGTTGGTTTATCTTGAGCCACAAACTCTTTCACTTTCAAAATTAAATTATAATTGGCTATCAGGAAACGTAATTCAAGAAGTTTCTTTGGGAATCAGTTATAGTTTTTCATTGACTTCTAACCCAGCCTATACTGAGTGGTCAAATTATATGACCTCTGAAGTTGAAGTGAAATGTTGTGATTGGTACATTACATCTTCTGTACTAGGTTTCCATGTTTGTCATTTCTGGGCCTTAGAATTTGCCTCTGCCTGGAAAAGGGCAGGATACCAATCTTTTGGTATCCTTAATCTATTAAAAGGCTCAATGCCTTTTAATAGATTAAGGAAAATAACATATACTTGTTAAAGAGAATCTTCATGTTTGAGAAAAAAATAATAATGTACTTGTATTTTCTATGGCTTCCTTTTTATTGTAGTTGGCACAATTATAGTGAAAGTCACTGTAATTTTAATTTACCTATATTTGTTATTAATT